TTTTGCCTATATCAGTACGGGTCCAACCAGAAAAACAGGAACTGCCATTATTTCTTTTTAATGATTATAAAATTAAAGCATAATTGGAAAAAAATTCAATGAATTTTAATTTAAATTGAATACAGTAAAACTAACTAAGGAAACCAAAACTGCCAATACCACTGGGGAAAGTCTTTTGATCATACAAGCATTAGTTAGGTAAAGAGTTGATCACTATAGTTATTTTAACAGAGAGAATTTAATACAAGGAATTAATTAAGCTGGCATTAGCAGACTGAAAGGATGAAAGGTATCTCAGAGATAATAGCTCCAGGAAGCAGCTACCACCCCAAGGGCTGAGGAAACAAAGGCCAGAGGCTGGGGTGACTAGCAACTAGAAGCTTGGAGAAGGGACCACACGCAGCTTGGACCCAGCACTCTGAGGAGGGGCACTGCCAGCTGCTTCCGGTGCCTCAGGAGCTCGGAGGAGAGACCTGCAGAGCTCTGAGCAGGGCTGCTGCCCAGCTGTTACTGCACTGTGGGCAACCCGCTAAACATGTCTATACGGCAGGGAAAAAAATGCCTGCAGGGTGTGCCATGGAGCCTGGGGCTTGTGGTCTGGGGATGAGTCAAACCAGGATGGAGCATGTCCTGACAGGAGGAGGGGAAGTAGCAGCTACAGAAAAGAATTTCTGAGGAAGTCGCAAAGGAAGTAAATTTGCACAGGGTGTGTGCTTTCTTGTGTGTCTTCTTTTCTCTATGTCCAGCATTTTCCTTCACATGGCTTCAATCATGTTACCAGGAAGAAAATGTGCGTCTGTGTGAGATAGAGAGAGAGAGACAGAGATGGAAGGAGAGCAGGAATATGACTGTCAGAGTGGGTGCAAGCAGGTGGTGGTCTTAAGATGGTGGTCTTAGCAGGTGTCCACAGCCAACCCTGCCCAGCGCTCTGCAGCAGATTCCATTTCCTCACAGCTCACCTGGTAGGTCAACACCCTCTTTCCTTCCTCTGGGAGAGTGCGGGGCTGCCTGGAGTCAACCTCTGACTTCTGCAGAGCGCTGACTGTTCCGTTTCCCTGCTTAGTCATTCCAGGTGGGCCGGGATCCCACCTGCTAAGTTGGTGGCGGCCTCAGCTGAATGTCACTCAGATGCGGCGGTAGGCCCCTTTGAACCCCCTCTGGCTGTTGAATCTGCTGTTGTGTAGACCCCCGTGTGCAGGACTAGCTACCAAGCCGGGGTGAGGCGGGGGAAGAGATGACAGCCGAGGGGACAGGAGGAGGGTGAGGCTTTGACTTGACCTGGGCCCCTGGCCCCCGACAGACCCGCCTCCAGTGTTTACCGGCCGCAGGTTCCTAATGGATTGCTTCAGCCAAGCATTTCCACGTGCAAAGGGGAGCGAGATTCCTTTGCCCTCATCACCCTGCTTCGTGGCAACTTAGGCCTCTCAAGAGGGGACATAAATATTAGGGGAAGTTGGGTCACCTACCAGTGGTTCTGGCTAAGAAAAAAATGTTTTTCTTCTCAGGAAAATGAATAAAACCACATGAAGGAAAATGCCAGAAACAGAGAAAACAACAGCTTTTAAAACTCTGACTAACCCACAACAGTCACCGGTAGCACCGGGAGGGTTTTTCCCACCCCTCCCCTATGCAAATCATTGGTTCCTCCCTTCATTCATTCCAGAAGTATTAGTTGAGTGCCTGCTATTGCCAGCGCCCGGATATAGGACCCTGAACAAGCCATACAAATTCCAGCCCCTTGGGGACTTATATTCTGAGGGGAGGAGGGTCATGTCTCTTGTACCAACAATTTGTTACCCTGTTTTCACTTGCCCGTCTATCTCAGGAGCACTTCCCTTGTCACTGCGTCATCTTCACGTCCACTATGCTGACAACTGCTCGCTGTTCCAAGTGCAGGGATCAGAGTTTATTTAACCTTTCACTGCTGTCGGGTATGAGCTCTCTCTCCCATTTTCGCAGTTTTAAATAATGCCGCGATAAATGTATTTGTGTAGGCAGATTATTATTTTTTTTTTAAATTGTGTTTTGGGTAACTTCCTCCCTTGCTGTATCTTTCACAGTATCAGGCAGGACTCTTGGTTACAAACAACAGGCTCCAAATCTGGTTAAGTAGAAAAGGAACGTACTGGAAGGCTGTCTATCCACTAGCTTACAGAATTGACAGGAGGCTGGAGAACCACGCTCGGAAAAGCAGTAGGAACTCAGGGTCGGGGCGGCAAAAGTGCGGCCCAGGTCCACCCCCGCAAACAGCTAAGACCCTGCAAGCTCCTCCTCCTGGACACGGCCTCAGTGCCTCCTCTCTTGGCTCCACCAACACCACGAGGAACCTCCATACTCCTTGAATGTTTGTCTCATGCCTTCCCTCCAGATTCCAAGTTTAGGGCGGGAGATCTGGCTGGGCCGATGGATCACCTGCCTACCTGCTTCTCTGTTGCTAGGGAGGAATAGGAGGGAATGGCCATCCTTCCTGGAGTGTCCTAGCGGGAGGTGGGTTTCTGCCCTGTTCTCCCATGCAGGGAGAGTGTTGGATCCTGGATAGGAAAAAGGAAAAACATCCACTACAAACATGATCTTTCACTTATTGTATGCGTGTTTATTATATGTGGGGAGATGGAGGGGCAGGGCATAGTTGAAATTTTGCCTGCCAGGGGAGGGTACCAATACTACTCAGCAGTGCTGGGATATCACCCAGGGATGCTGGGCACCTCCACCAGCCCTGGGGCCCTCAGCACTGGGGGCTAGGAAAACATGGGTGAAATTCACAGGGATAGCTCCATTTTATGCATAAGGAAAGCAGCCTTGGAAAGGATCTGTGACTTATCCTGGATCGCACAGCCGGGAAAGCTGAGCTAGCCGAGACCTGAGTATCAGTCTTCTGCAACAGCCGCGGGTTAGAGTGTTACTCAGGCTTGTACTGCTTCCCAGCACGGGGCTGGTGACTGAAATGAGGGGTGCCTGGAGCAGTCCAGGCAAAGGCCCTTTCAACAATGGGGCCTTTGTAGCAAGCCTTTCTTTGTTTGGCCACCAGACTGTTCCCCGGAGTAATTAAGGTCTGTGGTCCTTAGATAGAAGGCTGGCTGACACTGCTTGACAGTAATGCAGCAGTCTGAGCTTAGGTGCCAATGCTGTGTTCGGAATGCACGAGCCAGGGCAGCTCTGCTCCCGACGCATGGGCACGAGCCCTGTGGCTCAACGGCCCTGCGTCTCCTGCCTGTTCTGTTGGTAGGACAACACTCACTGCTTCTACGGGATGGGGTGCTGGTGGCACTCTCCTGGGCAGCATCAGGCTAGAAGGCTGGCATACAGACCCTGCCGCTGTGGCTGCATCTTCAGGATCTGCAGATGGACGTCTGGCCTGGAGGAGAAAGGTCACAGCCTTCTGTGGGTCCCTGGGTATCAGGCAATGCGAATCTGCGTCCTTTTTGCCAGGGCACGGTGCCCTCCTGGGGTGGTGAGTAACTGCTCTCCTTTTGGTCCAGGGAGATAGCCTCCCCTCCATTCCCACGAGGTCTCAGGAGCCAGCGTTAAAATCAGCTGGTGTTTTTATCCCTCCTCTGCGGGTCTGTACCCACAGTCTGTTGAAGGCCCCTCATTTACAGGAGAAAAGACAAACTTGACTCTCCCAGAACTAGGAAATGAGCCTTTCATCAGGCTTGTATCACTGGGGACTGTGAGGGTCACTGGACAGAACCTCGGTCTCTGCCCTCCAAGCACTTTCGAGGTCTTTCAGGGCGGCTGCCATTTGGAGAGGGAGTGAGACACACCCCCGGCTGGTGGCCTTGCACGGTGGCGGGTGCCTCTGCTGGAGGCCTTCGCTCTGCCTGTCCCCTGAACACACCGGTGTACGGCTCATCTGCCGGCAAATGGAGGAATGGCAGGGTTTAGGTGGAAGTGGGACTTTGGCACTGGTAGAGTTAACATTTATGGATTCAACTATTTGTGTGTGCCCTCGAGGGCTCATGACATGAAGTGATTTTTAATTGTGCTGAAGCACACATTTCCCTCACACTCGGGTGGGTGAGTCACTTCACTACTGAGAACCCGGCACTAGTGTTTCAACAGAGCTCGGGCTCTCGGTTCCTCTTCACAAAAGGCAATCTGTGAGGGGGGTCTTTCTGCTTCAGCGATGTTTGAGAATTGGGGGAGTCATGAGGGTCTCAGGCTGAGCCATCGGCACACCTGGTGAAGGCCCTGGTGTCTCAGGCTCACCCTTCAGCACTTCCCTTCAGGCCCCAGGTCCCTCCTAGAGCCCTAAGGCCTGCCATCCCACCCGGCTCTTCCAGGCTCGCCCACCCAGGTGGCTTGGGGGCAGCGACACCCCTGCCAGCAGCAGGAGCAGTCCTCCTGGCTGGCACATGCGGTGTGGGTCTGCAATGTCTGCTGAGAATTTAAAACCAATAATAAAATCGACTGTAAGTCAGTCTGCTTTTTATTATCCCCATGCTGGCAATTCTAAACAATGTCAGTGATAAAATACTCCTCCCCCAAATCTTTTGTTGGTCCATGTTCTAAACAGTCGCTGTGGCAGCTGTTGAATTTAATTGTATACATTCATATATATGTGTATACACATATATATGTGTATATATATGTTTCAAATTAACATGTTTTATTATTTATCCTTCAGTAAATATTATATCCCACATGAAAGTAATTAGGAGCATTCCCAGTGAGAACAGTGGGAGATGGCTCGAGCTGGCTTCAGGCATGGTTTGTGTCTGCAGCCCCCGTGGTCCTAGGTATTCCTGCATTTAAACAACAGACAATTGATGACAGCACAGTGATTGCAAAGCCAAGAAACAAAACCTGAGTTAATTCACTTCTGTTCTTCTGTGTGACTACTTGGCATTTTAATTTGTGTTTAAAATTTAGTAAGTGCAAATTTTCATTCATACACCAAGTATTTGACTGAATTCAAATAATATTTTTAAAATAGACATTTATTCTTCTTAAATGATTATTTTAAAACTAATGAACTAATGAGAATAATAATAATTACTGATTATTATGGTTATCACTGAAAATAATTTTGTCACCTAGAGAAGGGTGTTAAAAAGATGATCCACTTTGGGTGTTAGACGTGCTGGGTCCTCCACTGTCTGTGCCACTTCAGAAGACAAAAATCCCTCTAGCTAGTTGAAACGCGGGGGGATTAATAATCAGGTATTGAGTGGCCTACAAACACTTTGAAGGGCTAGGCAAGCAGGCTCTCATCAGAGCTTCCAGAAAGAATTCCAGCTGGCAGAATTACTCTACTCGGGAGACATGGCTGGGAAGGCTGTGCTCCCACCTGCCCACTGCAGAGCCCCTCGCCTCTGCTGAGATCAGGGCCAGCCAAGTAAAGACCTTGTCTCTTGCCCCATATAACTGGGCTCTGAATTGAGGTCTGGCGCTGGTGCATCTGATTGGCAGAACCTAATCCCATCTGGACCCCAACTTGCAAAGGAGGACGGGAAATTTAGTTTTTCTAAGGTGTCTGTCATATAGGATGGTCCCCTGGAGAAGCTTGGAATGGAGGTTGAGCAAACCAGTGCACAGCATCCTCCACATCTACCTAGTTGGGTCTCTGCAGGTCACCTTCTTTGGGTCTCTGGAGAGGTAAGGACCTGTCCTGTTTGCCAGCTAGGTCCTGCGCCATGCTGGTTTCTGGGTAAATGGCGGGCTCAGTAGTCCAGCATCTCCAGCTAAGGCTTTTTGTGTGGTGCGCCTCTCCTCCCTCCGCAAGGACCTTCTCTGCTTGGGCTCTTCCATGTGGCTCTCCTGTCAGGTGCACTGCTCTTCTCTTCATCAACTCACAGACATCTACCGGGTAAGGGTGGCTCCCGAACACCCACAGCTCTCCATGATGCCACCCCTAAACTCCACCCCACTCAACTACACCTGTTCTTATAACATCATTATGATTCTTTTATAGTCACTTTCAGGGGTTCTTCTCAATCCACATTTGCAGATTAAATGCAACTCTTGTCCTTAAGGTGTTTTCACTATCATTCTCAGAACATTAAAAATACTCCAATTTGCATCTACACTTGGGCCCTGAAACCTCAGCTCTCCTGTCCCTTGTAGGGGCAATGGGTGGTTGTGGGTGGTGTTCCACCGAGGAGCAGGTTCCACGATGACTGCCTGGAGGGTGACACTGCAGACAGCGGCAGGATGGGACCTTGTGTGAAAGTACCGGGTGAGGCCCAGCCTCACACAGGAGGCTTGAACCCAGTGTCCGTCCTGTTACCCAGGAGGCAGGGCCCGCCTGTCAGTCACAAACGCTGAGGGACACTCTGCTCATAAGGCCAGGAGGAGAGTGCCTGCCGCCCTGTGCAACTGGAGAGGCTGGATTTCCTTCTGCCGCAGCCTCTTCATACCTGAGAGACGGAGACTGTAGACCATGACCTCTCAGGGAAGGGATGCTACTTAGGCTGATAGTGTGTCTTACTTCTGGGGAAGCGAGGCTGGGAAAGGGTGTGGCACAGAGGGAAGCAAGGAAAAGGATTGGTGGCATTAGGGGTATTTCCTTCTGGATTGCCTCTGGAGGAAATCCTCGGGGCAGCAGATGATCAGCACAGCAGGCTGACTCTGGGCTCTGCTCCTCCCCACCCCAGCCACCACCAGGACACTCAGAAATGTGCCCACAGTCCTGAGCCCCAAAGTGGGGCTGAGGAAAGGAAGTGGGCCCACAGAATCTCGGTTTCCTTCCCCTACCCAGTGACTCACACAGTTCATGCCAGTCTTCAGAAGCCTTTCCTCTTTCTTCCCTGCAGCTTCCTAGTGGCCTGAACTCCATTTTCCTTCCAATAACGGGGCCAGAGAGTTTGACCCATTACCATTGGCTGCACTGAACACAGGAAGTCTCATTTCCTCCTTTCCTATGTTTTTATATTTTATTTTTTAAAATAAAAATTGTATATATTTAAGGTGTACAACATGATGAAATCATTACTACAGTCATTATGGAACATGAAAGTTTTTCAGAATATCCATGTTCTCTTCAAAGCATGGTTTCCCAGTGTTTTGCAAGGACATGACATGCCACATGTTTATATGTATATAATACATATGTTCAATTCATGTATATATGCATATATGTGTTTGTATATATACACATACGTATATACATGTATATACATGTATACACACACATTTATTGTTTATTTCTTCTTGGTTCTCATTTACCAGAATGACAAGGCATCTTGCTGATGCCTCTAGCCAACCAGGAAGTCTCTCCAAAGAAGGACATGGCCAAGATCAGGCTCTGCTCCAAAGACACAGCTAATTCCAGCCAGCACATTAAGATTCTAAAGTTAAGAGCACATTGTGAAATGTGAATCGATGTGACATTGTCAAGCAAAATGACCTGTGGGCTTGGGAGGTTGGCGCTTGTAGGAAGAGGCCCAAGTGTGCATCTTAATCTTGATTTCCTTTGGGAATATTTCCTCCATTGTGTTCCTGACTCTGATTATGTTCTTTCTTGTACAATCAAAATAGCTCTTGTCTTTTGGGCTGGACAATTCTTTTTCTTTCTTTCTTTAAATACAGGACTAATTGTTGTTGTTATTGTTGTTTTATTTTTTGGTCAGCAACAGCTGTTTGGTTTTAGAGCTGTGAGTCTATACTTGTGCACAAAATTCCACCCCATTAGGAGGAAAAGGATTGGAGTTAAAGTCCTGCTTGCTGTGTAAATTATTTAATGCACAGGGACCTCAAATGTTCAACCAGAGAACCAAAGTTCAGCGTTCAGAGTTTGACCTCAAAATGGCACGAATAATCCAGTAGGTAAGCACAGATTTCTTCCTTTATATCCATAATCTCAGGATATTATGAAAGCTTTAGCCTTAAGAAAATTTCAGGGACTTCAAGCTTATCTTTTGCCTGGTTTTAAATATATAGTAGGGCCTGGGTAAGCTGGGTACTAACTGAGGTTCTGGATTCTAATATAGGGTTTGTCTCCCCATCTCCTTTTCCCATCAATACTACTTGATTTGGAAACAACCCTACTGTGTATTGTCATAACTGTTTTTTGGGATCTTGAACCAAAGCGTAGCATTGGGAGTATCCATCCATCTCCATGTCTGGACTTTACACAGACCCTCCGGAAGCTCTCTTTCAATTTCTTTAGCCATGTACTTCAGTGAACTGCAAACAAACAGATCATTTTCCTGATGGTGATAAGGCGGTAATAGACTTTACTTCATTGCCTAGTGCCCTTCAGATATGCTTCCTACAAAACTCCCCAGCAGAACAAACAGAGTTACCGAATTTGGTTACTGGTACACAATGAAATAATAGCTAAATAACATAGTTACATGGTTATAATATAGTTAAATCATGCAGCAAGTTGCACACCATAGAAAATGCAGTTAGGCAGAGAGAATGAAATTAAGGGTTAGAGGTAAAAGAGAGGATGTATCTTTAGATGTGATTTGAAATGAAAAGCAGACACCCTCTAAAGGACATAGAAAGATCTTGCCAGATGATGCCTGCAGAAGTGGCTTCTCTTGTCAACTAAGGCAAGACTGGGGAAGGACGCTAGCAAGGGCGTGTTCAATTGGCTGTATATCTTATCTCATGCAGCCCTTCCTTTCCCCTTCCACTGAGGTCATCCTGATTAAGTCCTTTGACCTCTTTTCTAGTCGTTACAATTGCTGAATAGCTCATCTTCCAGGTCTCTGATTTATCCCACAAAGCATTGCCAGATCAATTGTCCTTGAACACCATTCTGATTGTATCATTCTTCTGTCCCCAATCTTCCAGGGCTTCTTATTACTTGCCAAAGCAGAGTAGGTGCCAATTTCTTAGCTTGGCATTCGAGGCTTTGACAGGCTCTTTGTTCTAGCCCTACTATGCAAAGTGTGTGCCAGCACATCAGCATCACCTTGGAACTTGCTAGAGATGCAGCATCTCAGCCACATCTCAGGCCCCACCTCAAGCATATTGAATAGGAATCTGCATTTTAACGAGATCCGCAGGTGATTCACGTGCACAGAAAATTTGAGAAGCACTGCTCTAGCCAAACTAAAATACTCACAGATATACTCCCTACTTTCCCAGTTTTGTCTTTTGCGTATGGAATTACCTCCACTTTTACTCCATCTTTACCTATCCATACAAGGGATCATTTTATGATCATCTCAAATGTTATCTCCTCCCTGGAATCCCATGGGCCAGGCAGATCAACCTTCAGAATGCCTGCCAAGCCCTTTATAATTGAACTGCCTCTTCTGAAGGGACAGCTTTATTTATACCCCATGATATGGTCCATTTGACCACAGAGAATTGGCCCATGGTTGGGTGAGCAGCAGTCCTTCTAGTGGCTGGCCAGTAACCCTGAGTGTGGCCACAGGAAATGTGAGTAGCACAGTTAAATTCTCTCTCCTTTTTGTTTTTTTTTGTGCTGAGGAAGATTTGCCCTGAGCTAACATCCACTGCCAATCTTCCTGTTTTTGTATGTGAGCTGCCACCACAGCATGGCCACTGACAGAGGAGTGGTGTAGGTCTGCACCTGGGATCTGAACCCAGGCTGCCGAAGCAGAGCGTGCTGAACTTTACCATTAGGCCACTAGGGCTGGTCCTCTGTCTCCTTTTTAGAAATTTGAATAAGGCAGTTAGCGGTGATTGCTAAAACTAAGAGCCCAGAGATAGAGTCAAGGTCATGAGCAGTCATGTGCAAACAACAGTTATGAGGAAACAGAAACTTGGAGTAAGCCAAGGAAGTAGAGACAAGAGGGTGGAGCAGACACGCAGACATGGTAGAGATGCCATAAGAGAAAGTGAGAGATGGTGAGAATAATGGGTCCCTAGACCTGCCCAGGTTCCTGGTGACTTTCCAGTACCAGGTCTTGGGTTCTTATAATAATACCTAACCTCATGACTTGAGAAAACTTGCATAAGTTTCTGTTCCTTGCAACTGAAATAGCCACTTTGGACCCTCCAAATGAAGCTGCCGGCTCCATCCCTCTACTTCTCTTTGAGATCGCATCCCTCATTCTTGTTGGCTGTTTCCCAGCTTTGCATTATAACACCTGTGATGCTATGAACACCAGCTATTAGCAACTTGTGATAAGATCGTGTCCTTCTCATTTTTGAGCATCTAGCAAGGTGGATGCTAAAAGTAACAGTAGGATCGACTCAAATTTAATTCCAGGAAAGCAAAAGCATTATAGTGAAGAGACCTAGGAAGGAAGGTGATAGGATTTATCACTAATAAGGGCAACTGAACTGTTGAGTGGCCAGCGTTTAGTTGAAGTCTTCGGTGGATTGTACCAACCAAGCCAAAGAGCCACAAGCCAGCGTGCATTTTTAACACAAGCTGTTTAGTGTCCTAGCAGCAAAATTAGTAATTCCCATCTCTCAGGAATCTAATCTCAGCTGATGCTATTTTATCAGTAAAGTAATTTCTTGTAGCGAGTTGAATGTACCAAACACATTTCTAGCTGGTCAGCAATCTTCCCTCTTAACCTTTAATCTGCTCCTGGCTGTTCCTACAGATTACAGGACAAAAGATGTTCGGAGAACGATGATTCTCTGCAGATTCAAAGAGGCAGCTTCATCGTTTATATCTGGAGTGTTGCCTCCCGCTAAGGGTCAGTGTGGGCCTCTTATGTGTGTGCATAGTGGTATATGCAAGGGAGCTATGTGTGCAAAGAGAAATGGTTCTGCATGTTTGTGTGTGTGTTTCTTTTAGTGTGGGAGATTAAGCTGAATCTGAAAAGTGTCATTATGGTTGTTTGGAAGGAAGGCAGAGAGGGGGCCCTAATTTTGCAAGTAGATGGGGATTTTTTTCCCCTCTCTCAGCTCCCTCTTAGAGAACATCACACTCTAAATCCGGAGGTTTCATGTGCTTTTAAGCTGGAAGCTTCTTCTTTAATGGCTTTGTGACTCACAGGGCCTGGGTGATGGTTGCTTTTTCTGTGTATAGAACTATAATCCTTCTCAATTATCAAAGACATAAATTACTATTATTTCCTTACCAGATCGAACATCTTGCTTAAATACGTGAAAGAAAAATTGTTGGTTGTCTGGTGAATTTTCCTCTTGGAAAAACTGCCTATTCTTAATCTACAAGTTCAATGAAAGTTCAAAAGTTTATCAGTGCAAACTCTATATTCTAATAATTCATCAGCCAGCTTCTACAGCCACATTAGAAGGCTCTAGTTGAGTTGGTTTTGTTGTCTCTCTCATGTAAAAAAAAGGAATCAAACAGCACATTTCCTGGGCATATTGCAAATACCTATTGATCATCATCAGAGCACAGATGGTATGAGAGAGCTTGGCTGACACGCAGGCCCTCATGTCAATCACAGGAACAAATTGATTTTGACCGCCCAGCCACAATTCTCCTACCCTAGCAGAATTCCATTCAGTGCTGTTGTTTGGAGAATTTCTGAAGGAGTGTCATAGTCCAACGTTATTATGGAGGTAAACTTGATTACTGAGAAAATGGTGATTTTAATGTACTTCATACTTACCTTTACCACAAGAAGGTCAATACCTTTTGCTGGTGTTGACAGAGCTCTCATCAATTTAAAATTTATCCTGATTTATGTCTGCTAATTAGGGGAAAGGAAAATCCCAATTAGCATTTTTCTATGACAGTATGAAGTGTCATTAATACTTTTCTCCAACTGGGATTTGTTTTCTTACTCACTTTTTTAATTAATAATTTTCATTGACAAAATTAAAGGGCTTATAGTTATGCCATCAATCTTTCCCTTATGACTTGGGTGTGCTGGAGAAAAGCATAGGAAGAGAGGGCTAATACCCCCAAATACTATTATAAGCATTAAAGTCCTCTGTGGGAGCCAGATAAGAAAGGACTTTCTGTGATACTATCCATTAGTGTCCATTACTTTACTGCTTCATATATCAAGGCTGCCAGGACAAGTTCGATAGGAAATGGGTCTGACTCCTTCAGGGAAGGGTTTGGAATATGAATGAAGAATGACTTGGGGACCAAGCTGTTCTGTCCTTCTCCCAGCCCCCAGCTCTAGGCTGGCATGTTTTCCACATGGTCCTTCTTTCTTGTCACATAGCCATCCTACACCTTTTCTCTTGAATTGCTCGCCATCTATGCTGTCTCACTGATGGGGGAGAGGGAAGACCAGATGCTTTTTATGTTATTTTTCATTAAACATCTAAGCCTCTTCTCCAGCCAAACTTGATTGTACTAAGAGTGGATATTTGACTCAAGGGGAACCAATCCATAGACTGGTCTAATCCAACCGGACACCTTCTCTCCAGAATTCAAGTTAAAATGTACACAATCTGTAAGCAGATGATGGGCAGTTGGAATCAAAGGCATATAGACCATCCAGGAATCAAAGGCTTTGGGGACCTGGGGCAGCCATTTTCAGCCAGGTGTACTCTGATGAGTCAGCAGAGAAAGCTTGTCTATGAAGACGAGCAAGAGATCAAAGCTGACACAGAGATGAGAGACCTCAGGCCGCTATCAGGGACAGGGGAGGTAACCCTGGCTCTGGGGTTTGCAGTGTCAGACTTGTCAAACTTCCTGTGACCCAGGTCCCCTACCTCTTGTCCTGGAATGCCGTTATGCTTGCCTGTTGTGCTTCTGAATAGGTCCTTGTTTTTCTTAAACTGGCTTGAATGAGTCTCTGTTCTTCACAACCAAATATACCCAGACCAGAAAGTATCCTGTTAGAGACACTCAGATGGGGAATTTCAGTCTCCTTCACTTACCTAGTCCAGTGCCTGGGAACCTTAGAAAATCCTGGTGCTCTCTTTCATCTAGCTGAGTGCAGTTCCACAAGAGAGGATATGCCAGGGGAAAAGATGTTATTCTCGAAACATTCAAATCTCTTAACCTCACCTTCAAAGCCCTCTACACTCATCCTGTTCCTCTTTCTCTGACAGTTGCTCCTGCTCTTGGACATTGACAATTTACTTAAATCACTCTGCTTTGTTCATTGCTCCTTATGGTAGATTAGAGTTGGCCACACATTTGTTGTGACTTTTTCCCCTGAGAGATGGACTCTAATTCTCATTCCCTTGAATAAGAACTGGCCTTTGTGACCTGCTTGACCAGTAGAATGTGGTGGAAATGATGTCTGGGTCTTCCAAGGTTAAGTCATAAAAAGCCTTGCAACTTCTGGCTGTGTCCCTGGGAACAATCTCTTGGAACCCTAAGTTGCCTTGTAAGAAGTTCTACTGCTCTGAGACTGTCCTTGTGAGAAGCCCAAGCCAGGGTGAGGAAGATGCTAGGGAGAGATACAGGCAGGCCAAAGACTCCAAGCACCAAACTTATGAGTGAAGAAACCATCTTGGAAATGGATCCTCTAGTCCCAGCTGATGCCATGTAGATCAGAGATAAACCACCCAGCTGAGCCCTTCCTGAATTATGGAGACACAAAAATTGTGAGGAAAATAAAATGTTTACTTTGAATTGCTAAGTTTCGAGGTAACTTGCTACACACCAGTGGGTAACCAGAATATTCTGAGTCATCTCAGGACTACTCCAGCCTCCTTGCCTTTCCTTATGTTTTTTCCTAGCCTAAGGACACCCTCATCCTTTCCCCCACCTCTATATCCTTTGGTTATCAGGACATATCTCCCTTTTGGAGAGGCCTTCTCTGATTATTCATTGTTTCTGTAGCAAGTTTGGCCAAAGCCACTCTTAGAACCCGTTGGGTGTGTGGTCATATGTGCCTCTTTGATACTCTGGCCTCTGTCATGTCCTAACTCCCCAAGGGCAGAGCCTACTCCTTGCTCCTTTTTTTCGATCCCTCTGCCCCTTGGCAGAGTCCTGGACAGAAGGGATTCAAAACATGTTGAGACTCCTAAATGTTCTCATCTTGAGAATACATAGCCCTAGTCACCTTAAACCAAATTTATATTGGTACCAATCCAAGGTTTGTCTTCAATTACACATTTCCATTAGGTATTTAGATTTAGAGATACTTCCCACTTTTTATTCTCAGATTTGGGTGTAAACTTTAAATTTTTGGTGTGTTTGGGAGAAATCTTCAAGGCCCACAGAAAGCAAGCCCATGTAGCATAAATAATGAGCAGAATCAAGTGACATAATGTCAATTTGTTTGCTTGTGAACATGCCTGTATCATTTATGTGAGGTCAGGTCAAACTCAACATTTATAGTTCTGTTGTAGTTGGGGTGTCTTTTAACCACATCACCTCTTTCTAAAACCTATTTTGTTTGGACTTCTCCCAGCCCACCAAAATGAACTTTCCCATGTTCCCAGGACAGTTTTCCATTTCCACCTACCCTTTGGTTTCCCTTTCACATGCAACATTCTTCTTGGCAGTGTTCAGCAAACTCATTAACGTCCAACCTCCTCAATTAGGCAGAGTAAACATTGCGCTACTCCAAACTGTCCCCCACTGCAGTGGGTATAGACAGAATTCAAGCAAAATGTTGGCCCAGAACCCAGGGGTTTGACCACTGAAGTTTACTTCTCTTCAATCAAATTCACGTCACATTTTCCTGTAGTTTTCTATAAAGTAATTGAGCTCTATCTTCAGTTTTCGAAGGATCACTGTTTCCTTTTCTGCATATGTGCATCTCCTCTTTAATTCATGGTGTGTACTTCTGTATTATTGTATGTATACCTAAATCAGCAACACGATAGCAGGAGCAATAAATGAGACCAGAAATATTTTTTAATCGTGCAAAAGAAAAAGTCACGTTTAAAATGTTCTGTTTCTTAACGAACATTTTAAAAAACCCCGTCAAATTCTTGTCCTTCCCTCTAGAAATTGTCACTGTATAAATGCTAACTTTTCCTAGTGCTCAGGCACGCGGGATGTGGGGAAACATCAGCCATAGTCTATTCATGTTCATAGGTCGTGACTAAGATAAATAGATTTTCAAGAAATATCGACGTGGGTGTACTCCAAGTGGGAGGAATTTCATGTTCCAGTTTCCCTGCTGAACACCTAGAATTTTAGAGACTCTGGGAAGTTTGTTTTTGACTCCTTTTAAAGCAGAATATGACTAAGGTCATGGTGTGATAAATCTCTGACACGACAGAGTGAAGGAGCAGGGATCTGAACAGAGAGGAGTGAAACAAGCCGAAGTGAAAAGTTCAAATGCATGAGTGATATTCTTACAAGTAAGAGGCAATTGAGGGTTATTACAGAGTAGCTTTCACAGAGGAGGTGGCTAATCACCGACATTTCAAACAGGAAGACGCTTGTGCTTTCGCTCTCCCTCCTGTTGTCAGTTATAACAACGCACATGCGCACACAGAGACACAGGCGCACACTGCTTATTTATGCCTAACATCCAATCTGCTGAAAAGTATTTACTCTTTCTTCATCAGAATGTTGAATTGTGACATATATCTTCAGTTCCTTAGCAACAAACTGTCATGTCACCCTTGTGAAATTCTGGTCAGCTGAGAGGAAAGGGAACGTGGAGTTGTGATGGAGAAAATCCTTACTTTAATCACAAATGTGTACAAGCACTGGAAAGACAATATGAAAAAACAGGTCAAGGAAGCTGCCTTTGAACAAGTGTTTTTGATTAAGGTTTGTGTCGGCCCAGAAGTCCCCTTTAAGTTCCTTTTTATTGAATAATTTCCCTTTGATCCTTGAGTAACTAAAAGAAAATCTAGCACTTGACATTAACCTGGGACTTAGAGGCCTGTCGTCGCAGGATTCCTTCGCCTGACTGCCATCAGGGTCGCCGTCAGAGAAGAGCCTAGCCCAGCGCAGCATGAGCCATTCACTCTTCCCCAGCTCTGCTTTTCCTTTCCCTCTCTGCGGGGTCAGGGTGCAGGACACCCAGCTGAAGCAGTCATTCCACGTGTGCTTATTTCTTTGCTTGTTTTTGACTTCAAAGGGGCTAGCCCAGGGACACTCATGATAACATAAGAAGATGTCGGTTATCCCAAGAAAGTGGCCTTGGAGAAAGGGCAGAGATCACCAGACGCTGGGGATGTTGAGAATTCCATCTCATCTTCTTTCCTTGTTCTGTTTGTTAGAATGATGCATAAGTGATTTTTTATTTTTGGCTTCGTGGATACAACCAAATCATTGAAGAACATTAAAATCAAACCAAATGGGAGCAAAATTAATAAGAAAAAAAATGCAGAACCTTTTTAAAAAGAGAGAGAAAGACCCAAGAAAGCAAAGGTTATTTAAACAACTCTGAGCGTGTTTTAAAAAACCATATCAGTGCAGTTTACCCGAATTCCCAGTTTTCGTATTTAAATGTCTGATCAGTCATTCAATTCCAATACAGACATGATGTTTGAAGGCCACTTTGTAATGGTTTTACCCTGGTTCAGATTATTTGCAATCCAGGGGGGAAATGTACATTCTGTGTGAAAGCAAATAGAAAACATATCTGAGCACAAATCAAAAGAATGATTACTGCACTCTACGCTCTGTGCCCATTACCGAGTCCCCAAGGCTCTCGTTCTGTTTGTCTTGGCACTTTTTCTTTAGCTGCCTTTGGACTGGGTGGGAAAAACAACCAGCACCACCCACAAAAGCCTCAGCAGAGAATGAGGGCGGTGGAAATGGATAACCTGAAAAGACACGACATCCTTCAAGGGCTTGGTGCTCCAAGCTTCACTGTGGGGGAAGCTGCCTGGGGAGATCTCCCAGGGCCCCCATGGAGGTCTTTGCTGAATGTGTGTCAGGAAGTGCCTGACCATTTGCGGGAGGGGCAACTCTGCTCTCATTTCAATCTCTAGCAAGCTCCCACTCAGTGGTTAATGAAAAATGGCATTTGCACAAAGTGGAGAGAAAAAGCATTGTTTCTATAACACATTATGCTTTTCACTGCTCAGGAGACAACATTTCATATCTTATAAAAAGAATTATCTTTATAACTTACTGTGCATGGCAGAGAAGTTGCAGTGTGTTCTTAAGAGAGCTGTCTCCACACTACAAGAAACACCTGTCTCTCCTACTCCCTACTGACAGAATAGCCTGTGTTTATAAGCAAATCCACTCAACCCCTTAATGATGACCCAGAATAAACATCTGACATACACTAGCTTTCAAGCTCTCCTGTGTTTAGGCATGAATTGTTCATTTCTATGCCTTTTGTATCCAGTCTGAAGGAAAGACAAATGATACAAGGGATGATTTACATTATCAATGGAGGCAGAGGTTATGCCTGTGTTTATCTGATCCTCTTTTATTGTATAACAAACAGTGAGATAACCAGCCTGGCACACAATGACCATTCAGTTTGAGTCACCCACCCACCTTATTTCCATGTTGACTTTAATTTTAAAATATGTTAAAAAGACAAGCCCTTGAATTGCTAGGCGCCTTTGGTTCAGACAGGCCTGCAGGGAAAGGATGGGTTTCTCAGTTGCTGTCAGGCTTCTCCATCAAGCCTGCAAGGTATTGCAACTGGGACATTTCTCTCTAATTGCACTAGGAGAATTGGTACTCAACTTTATGAGGATGATGTGGATGCCTGGCTCAGGTTGCATTCTCAGTAGAGCACTGGAAATTTGGAACAAATTCACCTAGCATCAGAAAAGACCATAGAGAGTGTGCATGAGCCTGAAGAACAGGTAAGCTTGCTTTTCCTTTTAGTGAGTTCATAAGAAAAATCAAGTCATCTCATGAATTGTCAGTCTAGCCTGGAAAACAACTTCATGAAAGCAACCATGGGCCTCCAGGACAATCTGTACCACATTTGAACATGATGCCCCAACACGGAATTCACTAAGTATCCCCTTTGGAACAAACTACTAATTCTTATGTAGTAGGAACTGATCTCTCAAGGAAGACACTTCTTAGCTGGTCTGGGATCTGTCTAGTCCTGGATGTGCCAATCGTAAAGTTGCCTCAACCTCAAGTGCAGATGGTCCCTGTGGAACTCAAGGAGATGGGGTAGTGGTGAAGGCAGTAGTGGTGAAAGATAAGCTCATGGAGATGGAACAGTGGTGGTGGTAGAAGATAAGATGGCCCCATATATCAGGTCCCAAGCCCTTCTCTGAATCGGACCCAAAGAACGTGGGGGATGGAAGTTCTAGGTCAGATGGAAGAAACACACACAACCCGGTTGTTCTGACTGACTGCAACTATAAAACCTGGACAGAAAGGATGGACTCTGAAAATTTAAAAGTAGCAGGTAAATTGGGGAAGAAGACCAGAATTTGGAGTACCACTGAACTGGAGGTGAGTTGACCATTTCTTCCCTCTGATATTCCCCACCCTGAACTCAGTGTAGCCTGAAAACTAGGAGTGGGTTCCAGGAAGCAGACTGGGAGAGCTCCAGGAGAAGCTTGTTCAAGGAGCAGGGAAAGAAACTCCTAACTCTCAGAAGGAGTGCAAAAACCCATCATTTCTGGTTTTTTCCTCTGTTCCCTTGCACCCCAGTCCCCAAGGAATTCGTTAATGGCAGCAATGGGAGCAATAAAGAGCAGAAATCAGTGAAATTGAAAAGAAGGAAGAAAATAAAATAAGCCAAAAGTTGATTCTTTGCAAATATCATTAAAATTGATGGGCCTCTAGCAAGAGGAAATGTGTGTGTGAGAGAAAAACAAATGAATGAAAGAGAGAGAGATTGAGATAGAGGACACAAATTACCAATACCCAGAATGAAAGAGAAGATACTGCTACAGATCCCACAGACAATAAAAAAAAATCATCAGGGAATACTACAAACAGCTCTATGCACATAAATTCAACAAATTAGAAGAACTGTACCGTTTTCCTCGAAAAACCCAAACTACCAAAACTCACCAAGATGAAATAGATAACCCGAATAGTTCTATAACTATTAAAGAAACTGGACTTGTACTTTAAAATCTCCAAAAAAAGAAATCTCCAGGCTCAGAGGATTTCTCTAGTTAATTCTCTCAAACATTTGCAGAAGAAATTAGATCAATTCTATGCAATCTCTTCCAGAAAATGGAAGAGGATGGAACGCTTCCCAACTCATGAGGCCAGTGTTAACTCAATACCAAACAGATCCTATTGTTTCATTGATTTCTGCTCTTATTTTTATTACTTCCTTTTTCTCTGCTTGTTTTGGTTTATTTTGGTGTTGTTTTTCTAGTTTCTTAAGGTGGAAGTTTAGATTATTGATTTGAATCCTTTCCTGTTTTTTAGCATTGTTAAATACTCTAAGTAGCATTTAATGCTACAAATTTCCCTCTAAACACTGCTTTAATCTGCATCTCACAAAGATAATACAAAAAAAGAAAACTACAGATCACTATCCCTCATGAACAGTGACAT